AAAAAAAAGAGAGAAAGGAAAAAGAAATCGTGTGGACTGGCGACGAAAGCTTGGGGAGGGGGCAGAAAGCTTATCCACCCAGCCACCTGGAGAAGGGGAGCCTGGGTGGTGGTGGTGGTGGGGTCCACCCTCTGGAGAGCTCTTAAAGCAGATCATGTAACAATGGAGAGACGAAGGGATGAGAACTGAAGGATAGGGGCTGGGCCTGTGGGGAGGGGGGCGGAGGCTGCCAAGAGGAGACTCTGAGATGATAGCTTCCAGATGTATAAAAGAACACCTGCTGTGGTTTATTACTGTGAGTTGGATTTGATGATGGAGCCAACTCCATTAGACGTCCATTAACATCCTCCTCACATGCTAATTCATTACAGCAGAAGTGTCTGACCAAAGCAAAATACAATGTTCTCCACTGTTTTTCTACACCAAGAAAGACTCCAAACTTTATCTGACTTAATAATAGTTCATTTCTTTAGTTGTGGATCGCAGTTAGCATTGCGTGACGGTAAAATGTCACAGTGAAAAGAAGAACTGATATATTGTGCTCACAGGGGTGATACAAGAGACTGGTAACAACTCAGATTAACACTATCAGCCAAGGAGGACGAACAAAATAAACAGGGCTATAGAAAACTAAATCGGAAGAAGAAAAGATATGGTACATGGCTCCAGGGTTCTTATCGTGTCATTCTTTCATCTCGTCGCCAGCTTTCTAGAGCATGCGCCCTTTTGAAGTCATGCCCTCATGGTTGCATTTGGGAAAAACAAGATAGTATAGAAAAAGTAGAAAGGAGGAAGAACAAGAGGCTAAGTGAATGAGAAAGTTCAGAGTGAAAGGTTGAGTGCGTCTTCTACTCTCACCTGCAGAGAGCCTCAATGGCATCCCGATCCAGGAAGTCATGGTCTCTGGTAACGGAAGAAATGTCGATGGGGAAAAGGGCATCTGTGTACAAAGAAAAAGAGAGTCAGTGCCAGTGTAGTCGGTTAAACTTATAACCTCAAAAAATAACCCTACCGAGACCTTCCGTCCCACCATCTACCCCCATAGTACCCTAATGAAAAGCTAGAGGAGGAAGTAGCATCTTAGCCGACCAAACAAACACAGCTGCAGCTTTCAGACCCAGCAGGCAGGGGGGATGTGGAGCACAGAGGGAGCGGACAAGGGATTGATTGAAGAATGACAATAGGTACTCCATCGTCGCTCAGAGGTCCTACTTCCTTTCTACTTCTCATTCTTCCTTTAAAATCCACCTCATTAACCAGATCACTTAACGTCTGGTCACAATGTGGGTAGAGTGTGGTGCAGCAGGTTAAAATGTATTGCAACATATCGTTTGCTGAGCTAATGGATGGACTCATAGTCTGGTGTTTTCATTGAGAATTAATTGAAGAAACCCAAAATAAGATTCTTGCACCTCAGGCCCCAGTGGTTGTAATGATAAGCAAATGCCTTTCAGTGAATGTGAGCACCTTCAGTCTTCTGTACCTGTGAGCTATCAGCGTGAGCTTATCTTTAGTGGGGCAATAATGTTGACAGCAAAGACAAAGGAGACCAGCCCATGGATATAAGGTAAAGAAAATGTGTCGTGTATTGGCATAAAACCCTCCAAGAGTTGCAGACGACTGCACGAAGGAGCACATGTTTTTGATTGACTGCAGTTTGCACTTTTGTGCTGCTGTTTCAGGCATTGTAAAAACAGGCTCATCACCTGTGCAGAAACACAATGAATTTTCCATTCAAATAGGAAACATTTCATGGTTAAGTGGCAACGAGCAATGACCTGTTGACAGTGTTGCCTTAGTTCTGCTGTCATCATCCTGTGGTTATGTAAGAACAACTGGCATGCCTTTGTGCAGTGGTAAAAGCTGTTGTCTAAAGAATGTTTAGTGTATTTTGGTTTGTTTCTATTTTAAACGTGTCCAGCAAACATTTGTCATTGCAAAAGTAGTAAACATAATTTTGTTACACAAGCCAGTAAAGACCTTTAGCCTCTATAAAAGTTACTATGTAGGTTACAGTACAACTGAGGTTTGTAATATGTAGGTTAGGGGGTTTTATTGGGTTTAATTTGAAACATAGAGCATAAATGTGCTCATAATGTACATCTCTGTAATGTTGTACATTACAGAGATGTACAGAGTTTGTGCAAATGGTTTCCCAATCACAAAAGCATCAACACAGAATTTGAGTTTTATTTGGGCTTGTGAATCTGATCCAATCACAAAAGCATCAACACAGAATTGTGTTAGTAGTGAACCCTTCCAGTTCCCTGATTATGTTTTACATTAGGTGTGTTTGGTTTCCTCACAGTTACTCACCTTCATAAAGCTGTGCGTACTGAGGGAAACCTGCAGCCCTGAGCCAGGTACAGGCCTCCTTCGCTTCAATTTCTGCAAATAATAAAGGAAGACAAAGAGCGTCAGGTTGTATCGCCTTAACAGAAAAATGTAAAAATCAACACTTTGTCCTTTTTAAGTAATGAGTATTAAACATCTAATTATTTAATAGATTTAAGTGAAACTCTCCAGTATTGACTCCATAAATCTAAGGTGTGACACTTAGGCTAATCCTGCTAAGTAGACTTTCTGAACAGCGAAGTCCACCGTGTGTCTGAAGAGCCACGGGGGCATTTCCCAATTATCTGTGAGAGTCCTTTAGATGACACATGCCAAATGGTTACCCACACCCCTGCCTCTTCAATTGCTTCATCAGCCCTGCAGCCAGCAGTCCGAAGAGACATGACAGACAGAAACATGTCTCCAGGCCTTGGGGGTGTTGAATTTACAATGTCCTCCTTGGCAGATTGACACCAAGTACAAATGTTACACAGCCCTGAGAAAAACTTGTAAACAAAACCAGTGTAACAAAAGCAGGAAAAGACACTGGTGAACTATAGAATAAAGTGGCAACAGAACACTGCAAAAAATACCTGTTACTCCTCTTACCTACGCGGGAACACTTTGTGAAGATGAAGGAAGGGACCAATAAGGTGTGGCTACTATAGATATACGTATATCAATAAAATGGGCACTATTGTATAAAAATGTTTTTTTCATGTTGAAAATTATAATAAAGTTTGAAAACAGATTTGAAATAACACTGTGAAACTGATTTCACAAGACACAGACCAACAGCAGAGAGAAGACTGTTTCTACCACTGCTGTGACTTCAGCAATGCTGTAAATGACCATTTACATACTGACAACAAGCCTAGACGGCAGACAAACCCCACTAACAACAAGGTGTGACATGATCAAGACACAGTGTTCTTTCTGCCACCATAGGGGCAAGTAAGGAAGGAGTGTCAATCACATTCATCCAGGTGTTGAATATGTCCACATAATCCAACATATTTTTTATTTGACAACAAATAAAAAATGTATTGTTGTATTTACACTAATGGATTAAATCCCTGAATATCTGTGGTTCAGTCTAAATGTTCTAGAGGGCCATGAGTCGAAAAAGGGGAAATCAAGTTTAGTAAGTCATGAATGTCATTTTGCTTCTATATCTGTGTGACTGCGTACACAAGTCTGCTTTGGCATGGAGAAATAAACCTCATGTTTAAAGACAGTTAGGCGATTGACATGTAAATGTGACAGACAAACACTTAGTTGGCTTTTCAAAATCACCGGAAGAGAAAAGACAGGGGATCCAATTAGCGCCTTCGTAGAGAAGCCATCGAGAGAGACACCCCACTGGATTACAGTGGGTTTCAGAAGTACTTTATCATGCAAACACTGTGCAAAGGACATTAAATAACAACGGCACTGACTATGCAGGTGGGTCAAACTGAATAATATTTGTTCCTGCAACACAATGTATTTCTATTCATTTAGACAGAAGCCAAAAAAAACTTTTGTTTGGCTGCAGGAAGTCGGCTGGGTTGAGGGGGGACAAACAACCAACAGACAAACAGGGAATTTATACAAAATAAGGTTGGTTGAATAAAACCAACAACTGCTGTTTAAAGACTATCTACAGTCATCCCACAACACTCCACCCAAACATTTTTGTTTGCTGCAATCATTCAAGATTCCAATTCCAAGTGTGTTTTTTTTCTAACTCCCCACTGTCCAATCTAACTTTTTAGTCCTCGCCAGGGAACTACCTCACTTCCTCTTCCTGCTTCCCTCACAGGAAGAAAGCTGAGCGGCGCTGCAGCGGCTGCTGACCACCCAGCTGTAAGGCTATGCCTTCGTTTGTTCCTGACCACATAATAGGTGGGGAGGCAGCCAAGACAAACACTTGTTCTTGTGATTGTGTGTGTTTACCTAAAGTCCTTAAAGCCATACTAGATGAATGTCTTTCAGAAGACTCTCCACTTCAGTTTTCTTTTTCTGTTCCATCTATTCTCAAGCACAGCAATGATTTTAGGTGTTTGATGATGATGTAAATATCTGATCTACGTGTGTGATGAATCTGAGATAATTTACCTGAACGTCCATGAAAAGTAATTTCAAGTAAACATTTCACAACGATTTAGGTTCGTAAAGGGTAAATATATACGTAAATAATACATTTTTCCCTCGCGAATTTTCCCATTTTGTGGTGGGATGATAGGAGAAGGATTACTGTTGACCATCTTCAGTTTTCTGTTTAAGTTGTTTATCAGAGACTTGGGCAGGAATCTTTTTTTTTCATCTAGCAAATATTTTTACAAATGGCTAAAATCTGTCTTTTCTTTACATCATTTTGTTACTGAATATATGCATCTAACACTTGAATTACTTCATAAACTCAGTTGAAAGTACCACTTTAAAGTACCTTATCGATCACTCTAAAATACTCATATAGGCTAAAACCAAAACAAACCATAACAATCTGCCTATTCGTTTTGAATTCTAATATAGTGTGTCTTACTTTGCCTTCTTTTCACCGCTCCAACTCTCATCCCGTCTGAACTTGGCGTATTTCAACTGCTTGCCATTCTCTCCTTTCCTGTTACAGGAAATTCTCACAATTGCCTGCCAACAGTTCCCTGTGTCTCAGGAGGCAACAGGGTCTAGCTTGGCTAGGTCTGAATGCTGAGCTCCGGAGGGAGTTTGTCAGGAGCAAGCAAACAAAGGCCCCGCTACCCACCTCAAAGACCCTGCTCCTCCTTATGTAGCCAACTGGAGGTCAAAAGTCAGAATACAGTTATCTCAGGAGAAAAAAAATCTACAAAGCAGGCAGAGGGTTCTTATCAACTCCTGGTTCGAGTGGCTCATTTTGAATGAGCTGCAAAGTGGGTCTAGACAAGTGATAAAGTAGACAAGTCTAGGAGGCACAGTTGTAATCTACAACCAGCACAGATAGACACTGAAATATTGCCAATGATGTGTTTTAACCTCAACAGTGACAAAGACAAACAACTGATGTGGTCATGATCTTGAAGAATCCACCATGATCCATCAGCTTGTGAAACTATCCAACCAATGATCGCAATGTTCCAAACAGCTTGTGTCAGTACCAAAGCAGCAAGAACAGCTGGTGACAATATATATTTTTTTAATCTGACCAATGTCAAATCCCTCTGGTACTCTAGAGGAATTCCAACATAGGGAACAACAGAAGATTTTTTTTTTATAATTGGTATCGAGTTGTGTGATTTCATGGCTAAGACAGCTGGCTGTTCACTGAAAAAGCCTGGCTGTTTGCTATCTGAGATGGTGCCAGCAATATCACCATCTGGCTGGCCTCAAGCTATGTCCTGCTCTCACACTCACACACACACACACAAATAATCATGTTACTACCATGGCCCATTACAGTTATTTACCACCAGCCGGCACAGGCACACTTGCAGGGACACAGGCATGAAAACACGCAGCTGGCCCTGATGGATCATCACGGAGCTAACCCCGGGCCTCCCTGTGCCTGGATGATATATTTATCTTCAGCCATAGCTGTTGATCAAGTGACCTGTCATAATGGCCAAGCTCAAACCCAGTATTTACTCCTATTTCATTGTCTCTTAAAGCATTGGTTGAAACACCTGGAAGGGAAAGCTGTTCTCGGTGTGTTGCTTTGACTGAATGAAATACATGTGAATAGGATCAGAAGATTTCATGTGCAGATGATATGCTTCGACCACACAGTAGGTAAAGGTTCCACTGCCGGATATCTCTTCTGATTAGCCCTATCTCTTAATATATATAAATTCATTCATTTTTCTGTTATTATGTATATTAAAATTAAAAATCCCAAACCAAACAATCCCAGACTGACGCTCAAAGCCAGGATGATAAGAACAGCTTCTCAACAGACACAAAAGACAATGTGCCATCTGGATGTAGAAACTTTCAGATAAGGCCTCAGCTCACTTCCTGCCACGCTGAATGAATCATAGCTGTTCATGTGCTTTCATTTTGACTCGACTGATAGCGATTTTAAATATATATTTAAGGAATATTAACTAAAAATCTAAAATGTTTTCACTCTTTTCTCACAATTCCGTAATAGTGGACATTGTGAGGAAAGCGGATGTCATACTTACTCTATAATTGTTGGACAACTGACATTCTGCACGTACTGCAGTCACAGATCAGTGGCAGCTGATAAGGAACCAATGGTTGTGACAAATGGTTGAAACAGAAGGGACTTACTCTCAAAATACACTCAGACCAACATAGGACAGACAACTTTGGGTTTTTATACAACCAGGGCACCTTCAACAACCCCTAAATCCATTTCTTACCAAGAGGTCAGCAGTAAAACAAAAGGTTGAGAGTTAAACCAGCTGGTGTCAGACTGGTACCACACACACAAGTCACCAAATAAAGTCTAACTCCAAATCACAGTGCGCAAAACTGTTTCGGATCAAAGTTTCATTTTTATCTCCAATGATTCCTCGATTGATACAAGTCCATCACTGGGTCCGTAAGCCAGATTCCTCGATTGACACAAGTCCATCACTAAGTCCACAGTACATCGTAAGCCAGAAAAAAAAAATCACTTGAGGAAAGTTCACCAATATTCGAATGGGATTTACTGTGAGTTCAGGGAAGGACAGTGGATCTTTGGAGACGCACAGATACGCGCTAAGCAATGAGGTTTCTTATCTGACAGCCCGCGGGGCTGCGCCGCAAAGACGACTTAAAGTATTTTTATTTGTTTAAATAGAAGACAAAATTCATTCAAGGATTCCATGTAACTTAGGAGAAGCACAACACGGACTACTAATTATACTGAGCCGTTTGTTTTCAACGACAAACAGGAAACCGCAGGAATCCATTGGCACAACTTTTAAACATGAAAACCACTACCGCAGCATGGATACGATTCATCTGAAATGATGAATGATCATTATTGGTGATTATGACAAAGACTTACGAGTTAATATCATGGTGAACGTATGGGTTGTGACCAGCCTCAGAGCCCGGCTGCGCTCCGGCAGACTCCGACTGTC